ATATATATATATATATATATATATATATATATATATATATATATTTATGAGTTTTAAAAATAATTATTTTACTTTACTTAATACCATTTTTTACACTTTAAAAATTAATTTTTATTTTTTTTCTTTTTATATAAATTTTTACAATTATATGTAACATTAACAATTACTATTTTTATATTATTTTTATGACTAAGGACATTTTAGTAATTTTTAATTTTTTATCAATTAAACAATTTTTTTATGTGTCACATTGGTCAAATTTTACACTAATTTTCACAACCTTTACTTCTAAATTTACTCACTCACCTCCAAATCCCTTAAAAAAATATAATAAACTCATTCTCAAATTCCCTGAAATCCATTCATTCTCTCTTCCCCAAATTCATCATCTAAAGTGAACCAAACTTAAGATATTCACAGGATATTTTAGCAAGATTATAATTTAGTTAAGTTCCTTCTGTCGTCTTCCTGTACATATTATTCTAATTTATTTGAAAGATAATATTTGCAAATCATCTTGTTTTTCATGATCTTGAAGAAAGAATTAGAGTCTACAAACTCAAAATCAATCTCCGGGTTGTTGGGTCTATCGAGGAGGAGGTTCCATATGGGTTACACAAACACCAATAACATCTGAGCCAACTATATAAGGGAGTGGTACTAAAAACAAATCCGTGAGGGCTTGAGCGGACAATATCTTATCAGTGTAGAGATATGTGTATATCGAAACTCCCCAACATGGGTGAGTTATAGTCCAACATGTTCCTTTCACTAAATTACAAAACTCGAACATATTTTGGAATAATTTTAAAAAGGTTTAATTGTTTGGGTGATCCTCACTTTTAGGACAATGTGTTGTTACTTGGTTCCTATTTTAAAAAAGTGTCAATTTCATCTTTAAATGTGTTAATTTGCATCAATAAATCCATTTTTGTTCATAGCTTTTAAATAGTTAATATTGACTTATTGGACATACTGTGATGAAAATTTTTGTAGTGTAGTGACATTTGTTGTCTGATGTATAGCCTATACGAGCTTTATGAGGTGGAAATTTGGGATTAGTGTTTCGAAAAAAAAAATAAAAGAGTGAAGGTTTATGAAACAACAAAAATGGCAAAACTGGAGATTTCATTGAAAATAAAGTGAAAGTGAAAAATCAAAAGAAGTAGATTTTATTGAAGATAAAGGTGAGTTGGTGTTGAATATATATGATTGTGTGGGTCTATTTTAGACTTTCTTGACATAGAAATTTGAGATTAAGGTTTAAAAAAAAGTTAGTTAGCAAACATTTACAAATAAAGAATTCTAACAGCGAAAAAGAGAAGCAAAATTAGAAATTTCATTGACGAAGAAATGAAAGTGAAAAATCAAGTTTTATTTGATCCTCAAGTAAGTTATATTGAAAATCGAAGGTTTCATTGAATACAATTGATCAATACATTTACACATTTTTAAATAGGAAAATGTTATTTGGACAACAAAAGTTTGACACAATTTTGACAACGGCGACGTGGCAGCTGTGCATTGGCTCAGTGAACCGGGGTGAGGGGTATTTTGGGTTTTTTCTGGTTTGTTTTCAATTCACTGAGCCAATGCACAGCTGCCACGTCGCCGTTGTCAAAATTGTGTCAAACTTTTGTTGTCCAAATAACATTTTCCTATTTAAAAATGTGTAAATGTATTGATCAATTGTATTCAATGAAACCTTCGATTTTCAATATAACTTACTTGAGGATCAAATAAAACTTGATTTTTCACTTTCATTTCTTCGTCAATGAAATTTCTAATTTTGCTTCTCTTTTTCGCTGTTAGAATTCTTTATTTGTAAATGTTTGCTAACTAACTTTTTTTTAAACCTTAATCTCAAATTTCTATGTCAAGAAAGTCTAAAATAGACCCACACAATCATATATATTCAACACCAACTCACCTTTATCTTCAATAAAATCTACTTCTTTTGATTTTTCACTTTCACTTTATTTTCAATGAAATCTCCAGTTTTGCCATTTTTGTTGTTTCATAAACCTTCACTCTTTTATTTTTTTTTTCGAAACACTAATCCCAAATTTCCACCTCATAAAGCTCGTATAGGCTATACATCAGACAACAAATGTCACTACACTACAAAAATTTTCATCACAGTATGTCCAATAAGTCAATATTAACTATTTAAAAGCTATGAACAAAAATGGATTTATTGATGCAAATTAACACATTTAAAGATGAAATTGACACTTTTTTAAAATAGGAACCAAGTAACAACACATTGTCCTAAAAGTGAGGATCACCCAAACAATTAAACCTTTTTAAAATTATTCCAAAATATGTTCGAGTTTTGTAATTTAGTGAAAGGAACATGTTGGACTATAACTCACCCATGTTGGGGAGTTTCGATATACACATATCTCTACACTGATAAGATATTGTCCGCTCAAGCCCTCACGGATTTGTTTTTAGTACCACTCCCTTATATAGTTGGCTCAGATGTTATTGGTGTTTGTGTAACCCAGATGGAACCTCCTCCTCGATAGACCCAACAACCCGGAGATTGATTTTGAGTTTGTAGACTCTAATTCTTTCTTCAAGATCATGAAAAACAAGATGATTTGCAAATATTATCTTTCAAATAAATTAGAATAATATGTACAGGAAGACGACAGAAGGAACTTAACTAAATTATAATCTTGCTAAAATATCCTGTGAATATCTTAAGTTTGGTTCACTTTAGATGATGAATTTGGGGAAGAGAGAATGAATGGATTTCAGGGAATTTGAGAATGAGTTTATTATATTTTTTTAAGGGATTTGGAGGTGAGTGAGTAAATTTAGAAGTAAAGGTTGTGAAAATTAGTGTAAAATTTGACCAATGTGACACATAAAAAAATTGTTTAATTGATAAAAAATTAAAAATTACTAAAATGTCCTTAGTCATAAAAATAATATAAAAATAGTAATTGTTAATGTTACATATAATTGTAAAAATTTATATAAAAAGAAAAAAAATAAAAATTAATTTTTAAAGTGTAAAAAATGGTATTAAGTAAAGTAAAATAATTATTTTTAAAACTCATAAATATATATATATATATATATATATATATATATATATATATATATATATATATATATATTATACGGATGATGTATCATATTATTTCTAAGAGACACGTTTGACATTTTAACTTCTTTCTAATGTTTTTATATATTATTTGTTTTAATGTAAAATACTACATTAGTGATTTTATATATAATTATTTGTATTTCCTAACTTATTATCATAATTATAATTTTACCATCATAATTGTTTACACTTTATTTACTAAAATATAATAACTTAATTTCATATATGGTTTATCACCGTATATCTTATATATTGATTTTGTTTAATTAGTATATTATAATCTCTATTAGTACATAAAAAAATTATTAAAATTAAGTTAAATATTCTGAATGTTTTTAAACTTGAATATTTATTTTTTTATTTTCTTAAAAATATTTATCAACTTTGTTTAGTTAATATTTATAAAATTAACATATATTTTAATTATCATAAAATTTTATTTATGTTTAATTATTATTTGATACTTTATTTAAAATTTATGTAATTATAATATTTTTTCAAAATAGAAATAAAATAAAATATTTAAAAATTTATATTGATTAAATATAAAATAAAATTAACCATTTTTTTTTTTTCAAAATAGAAATAAAATAAAAAAATTTATACCGTGGTCATTCCATTAAATATTCATTTAAAAAGTGGGCTAAAAACAGTTCACGTAGACCCAACTTTGACATTATTTTAGTGTTCTCTTTTTTCTTGATTTCTTTCGTTTTTTTTAATCTAGAGTTGCTCCAGAAATGCGCCAAGACACTTAATAATATCTAGCTTTAGAGTTTAGTGATTTAGAGTTTAGTGATTTCAGTATGATTAAATAATTTAAAAAATTTAAAATAAGCACTCAAAAAACAAACATAATTTTGAGATCCATTCTCAAAGATGCAATACTTTTTTTCCTATCAGAGTACACAGCTACCAATCGGGGAAAGATAAAAAAAAAAAAAACACTCCACAAATCAATAATTCCAGAAATAGCAGCAGATTATTCGTAAAACCCAACGCAAGAACTGGGTGAGTTCAACCAGGGACGAGATCCGAGCCCTAACAGGAAACGGCTATATTGATGAAATTTTGGTCAGCTACACAAATATCAATTTTCAGCTGTCTTACCCCATATATGATGTAATTTCATTGCTAATTCAGCAGCACGCCTTCTTTCTGAATGACTGAAAATGTGCAGGTTCACGGCCTCCTGAATTGCCGATAAAAGATGCTCCTTGGCTTCAATAGAGATAGCAATGCAATTTGGTCCATGGATAGTACTCATTTCAACAATCTAAAATAAGATTACCATAAAGGATCAGATTTCCCAAAGTTACTTGGTAGCAGAGTAGTAAACGGCATATAAATTCAAAGACAGAAGTGCCCAACTTAGAAGGAAAGGCTTGTTCGTATTTCAGTTATGCATAGTTTGAACAAGGCAGTTTCTAATTCTACTGCAGAAGTAATACAGAACAAGTTATTCCATATCACATAGCCTCCTCTCACATGATCTTAATAACACATTATTGCTCTTAAATGCTACCCATAACTACCAGTTGTTATATATATATATATATATATAATATAATAATGATACATTTCGGATCATGACAGTTATTATCAGTTCCCATCAACATTTTTTCACCTGACATAAAAAGCATTAATAACCATCAAAGGAACATTGAGATCTGCACAGATTTTAAAGCTACTCTTATTTATTCCAAGGAAGCCACTTAATGAAAGGAAAACGGAATTCAAAATGATAATCAATACATCTCTATGCAATACATAATAAGGGTAAGCGAACTTGCCTGTTGCAGCCAAGGGATTATTATACTAAACAATTTTCCTTCGAGAAGATGTGATGCTAAAGTGCTAAGAAGAGCATTGATTGTCTTTACGGATAAACTTTCTACAACTGGACCAGTAGTATTCAAAAGCTCAACGAGAATAAACTCATCGTTGAAACACAAAGCTTCCATATAGGCACTGTTTAGATCCCCTTCACATACAAGACGTTTTACATGCTTCCAGCAGTTTGTGTTATTCTCAGACCAGCCATTTCTGGCATTGGTTGTTCTAGAAGCAGAAATGATACCATCATTTTTTACCAAACCCATTCTTGTTGCATCCTTCGCTGAGCTGTTCAAAACATCCTTCTCTGTACCTTTTCTGCCAGCCTTGACCTTGTAACTTTTCCACATATCTGAACTATCTACAGAATGAATCCCGGGTTGGCTTCTCGAAAATGTCCTTTTCTCCCAACTTTCAGAATTTTTAACTGACAGAGAGACTGATTGCTTATTATTAATTTCTACAGAGGGCCTTGGAGTGCAGATGGAGAACCTGGGAGAGGCTACAATTTCACTCTGCTTCCCTAATTTGGAGGTTTCAGAATAAGAATGCCTTCCTCCTTGAAAAGATTCTCGACTTAATCTATCAAAGACATTCTCTAAGTCTGTCATTCTTGACTGGATTGTAGAAAGGGCATCCATTATGCCAGTTGAAAACATCTGAAAAAGATTTGACAGTATGCTAAATTAAAGATGTTCCTTATACTGTGTGATGCATTACAAAAAAAGTACTAAAAGTCCAGTATAACAATAGTATGCCTATGTGTGTGTGCCAGAAGTCCCACAATTCACATTATCTACGTAGGGTTCAGTTCATTGCCATTGTTGTTCGTATACGACTGATAGAAACATGCAAATCTAATCTAGGTACTTCACCAGTTTCACACTGTATAAAAAACAACGAAACCTAAGCTCAAGAAACCATCGGATAAAGGAAAATGACTAGCAACAACAGAGTGAAGAATTTAGAATCACGTGTGTATAATACCTGTAATTGGTGTATCATGTTAGCTTGTTTGATTTCAATATCGGAAAGTTGATTCTGAATACAAATCATTTCATTTGCCATTTGCATACAGCATTCATGTGTAGTTTGACGACTTGGC